TCGTTCCATATACTCACCATGCTGGAATGTAAGCTCAGTTTAGTAACGATGTCACAAATATACAGAGTTACAATAAAACTACCACAATTTTCTGAAACGACCCTAAGCTGTGGTTTATCCAAATCGAGGCACAATTCAGCTAAGCAAGGATAACAACGGACACGCCCACATATACAAATAATGGGCGTATGTCTAGAAAACAGACAGACCCATCTAATTTTTGAATTAGTGAAGGGTGATAATCTAGGTGACATCCTCTTTGACGAAGAAAAGAAAGAAAAGTATATGAACAATGACCAAAGAAGAAAACCAATTTCTACTATATAATAAGTGCAGTAGATACAGAAATACTGTAACAAGCTTATCTCCAGCGTTGGATAAATACGTAGATTGTAGGTAAAAATCATCTGGTTCTAATAATCTATATCTAATCTTCTCGTTTCTTTTTTCAGAAAGTTTTATCCGTCATCCAACTAAAAAACAACATGCTTTAACTATGGCGTAAGATGCTGATATGATTGCAACGTCAGATGCGTACTCCAAAGAGCTTACCTTACAAATAGGCAGGTATTTTTACGCAACCAACACACCTTTTCTGCATGCTGATCATATCGAATTTAAGAAAATGTTAAACACTCTTAAGACCCGGATTTAATGGCCCTTCTTCATATCAGATTGGAGGACCCATTCTAAATGAAGTGTATGATAGTATTTTAAAGGAGTGTAGGGATACATTAGAGAGACAAACAGTTTTTATGTCACTGGATGGATGGAGTAATGTCCATGACGACGAAATGTACAAAAGATGCGTTCCGAATTAGAAAAACAAATCGGCATATTTCAGTATGGATGGTCAGCTCATATTTTGAATTTATTGGCCAAACATTTAGAAATTCCTTCGGCAACTACAAACGTTTTAAGAGTCATAAAATATTTGAGGAACAAACACATACCATCTGGACTTTACAGAGAAGCTGAAGGCAAAAAATTCTCTGGAAATCAGTTGGAGCGCAATGAATAATGCGCTAAAGTCATTTTTAGACAATAGGGGAATTATTGTTAAATTATGTCAGGATCATAAAAATGTAATTGAAAGTGACATAATAAAAATTGTAAATGATACTCAGATTGCATTAAATACTAGCGATTTAATTGCTCGCCTAGATCCAATAGCAATAGCTCTAGATAGAGTTCAAAGAGACTACTACCATATCCGTAAGTGTAGAGGTATGGCATAAATTAGAAATGGATTTGGATTTGTCACGACAGCCACTTCTAATTAAAAAAAGTTTATGTAAAAGAAAAAAAATATGGCACTTGGACCAATGCATTATTTAGCAAACATCATGGATCACCGATTTTTAGGGCGACATCTAACAACTACTCAAAAAGGAGAAGCCTTTGAGTATTTAAACAGTATTAACAGTTCTTTTATTCCATTTGTTATGTCTCTCATGTCAAAAGGAAGCCCATTTCCAAAGTACTTTTTTTGGGGATCATTTTCCACTTACTCCTCCGATAACATGGTGGAAATCGAGTCCTGTATCAGACTCAGATTGGCCGGACTAGAATGTATTTTTACAATTATGTGAACAATTACACACTGCAGTGGCATCTACAGCAAGGATTGAAAGAGCCTTTTCATCTTTTGGTTTGGTCCAATCTGATTTACGAAATCGCTTAGGAAACCAAAAAGCCAATAAACTAATTTTCATGTTTAAGTGCATGAATCAAAATACAGCCAAAAAAAAACCAACCTTGAATGGGCATGGGAACCAGCCACGTCTGAAGATTCTGATCATGTTAATGTCGCTAATAACATTATTGATATCAACAATTCATCAGATGAGGATATGCCAATATCGATGCTCCTAAAATCAAGACAAATAATCTGTTCGATTTTTAAGTTTTGTTGTGTTAAGAGTTAAAATAAAATGTTTTGTGCTTTAGATTTTAGAACATAAATTTTTGTTTTTCTGTTTTGAGTTTTGAAAATGAAATATAGTCTAGGATTTATTTGATATATATCCGATATAGGTATATCTGATATATATCCGATATATATCATGTGATATGATATTTATATAAATATCATGATATTTTCGATCGCTGCTACTAATCTACTGTGACACATCTTTATTATTATTATCCGATAGTGCTTTCTTTTAAAGATTTTACAGCATTTTCTGCAAACCCATTACTTGCAAGGTGAAAAGGTGAGGATGTTAGATGTTTAATTTAGAGAACTCGGCAGATATAAACTGTGGACCATTACGATTACTTTAGGCAATCCAAAACGAGAAAAACATCCTCTCAGCTAATCTATAGTAATGTGTGATTCTATAGATAGCATGACAAAAGCTTCAGACCATTCAGAATATGTATCAAGTATCAATAATATCATTTTGCCTTTAATAGGTCCATAAAGTCTTCATGGAACCTTTCATAAAAATAGTTGGAAGGTTTTGTTGAAATCGGTGGTGCTTCAGAAGGTTCTGGTTTATTAACAGCACATACTTTACATTAATTCACTCGTCTTTCAATCCCCTGATCTAGTGAAGGCCACCAAAAATATGCTCGTGCATTAGATTTCATTCCAACTATCCCTTCGTGATTGCCATGTAGTTCATTCAACAACTGCTTCCTGCAACGAGAGCATATATTTGAGTAAAATTTTTGCGATTTTGTCCTTTTGAATTACTTATGCGGAAGAAAATTTCCACGTTTAAACAATTCAGGAACATTCCAACAAACAAATATTACTCGTGCCAAGTTTTAGTTAGTCTTTTGTAATAGCAGCGAACTTTCGTCATCTTCTTACACGTTCGTCAATAAATTGGTTGTTGTAAATTCTGTAGCCTTTGGTTTTGAATTATACGCTAGAAATCGGTCGTATTTAAGTTACTTATGCAACGTTGCAAATTAAGCGCAACTGGGAAAAATTATACGAAGTATAGAATTCCGAAGCTCAGTATACCAGGCCTGAAAGTTTCCAATGAAAATTAAAACAAAAAAAAACATATCGCCACCATTATATTCCATCATTGAGTGGGCGTTAAAAAATGACTTAGTATTCAGAGGTGATTATTTTGCATAAAATTAAAAAAAAGTTAAACCAAATTTTTGACACTGCGCATGCGCAAAACCAAAAAATATCGGTATGCACGGAATCATTGGACCAAGCCCTTTCAAATGAATCCTATATCGCCAAAATCAGTTCAGTGGTGTAGGTGTACGTGTGACGGACGGACGACAAAGTGCAGCAAATAGCGATTTTTCACTTTGAGGAAAATACGCTAAAAAAATTCAACTTCAAACTGAGTCACGTTGAAAACACACTAATGAAACGCCGACAAACACCTCTCCTTGCAGCACCTTTGATAGCCAAATAATTTTTATATATCAATTTGTTATCAGACATTAAGAGATAAATCCAAACTTTAAATTCTAGGAAAAAATAAAATTTCATCTCTTAACTACACAGAAAAGGCGATAAATCACATCCACTTGTCAATTAAATTAAACATTTACAATTGATAACAGATAAAGACTCAACAATTCCCAGAAATTCTACGTTAAATAAAATAAAAATGTAAACAAAAATACCTTGGCCGCTTTCTCGTATGACACAAATAATCCCCATGCCGTTACATAGACCAACGACAAATTAATAAAATTTAATTACAAAAGTTAATTACATAAAAAGGAGACGACCCTTGTCCATCTTAATTAAGATTTCTGAAAATTTCATCCTGCCAGACGAAATAATGTACGAAAAAACTTTAGAACAAAAAAAACCTGACTTATGGCCTATAGAACTTTAAGATGTAGAGTGCAAGTTCATGGTCGGAGAACCTGCTAAATGTTTGGTTCCTGAGTTATTTATTATGTGTAAGTTGGTAGTCATAAGTCAGATGTTGATCAATTGAAGTGCTAGCCGAAGAAGTGATTCTGGTAGGTTCTATAATCCAAACGTTTCAACCATAGACGTATATTGCACGGTTTCCGCAAATCAGAGAAACTTAGGTGACCAAATGCTAACTGAAATTGTAAATCTACAGTTTTAATTTATACAAACGCCTAATTATATTAAAATTTAAAGGTAAATAGTACAAATATCTCAATTCCCAATAAGTTTTGATTATTCCAAAGTGAGCAGTTTTTTAAACTATCTAATTTGTGAACGACTTTCTTCCAATTATTCCTAGAAATAGGCAATTTAAATACATCATTAACTGTCTTACCAAAAACAAAGTTTTATGTTCGTTCTGTAAAGTCATCAAAGAGGTTTGCTTATTAAGCCGACGATATCATAAATTACAAAAGAGAACGGACAATATATTAAACATTTTCTAATTAATTTATTCACGAGAGCATAATTGAAAATTAGAACCGCTGTGAAATATTTCATTACACTGTTATTAAATTTTCAAACATCTAACAAAGGACTAGATGTTTGCCTTACGATAACATTTACCAAAACAATACATTATTTCCAAAATATGAGGATTTATTGTAATGTACTGTAGTATTTTATATTTAAAAGTTAATATTTAGTATTTAATAAATACTATTTATTACATATATTAAGCACGGGGAAAATACCGCCAAATATCTAGGGAAGTTTATAAACGAAATCCAGATAATAATAAATTAGTGATCTAATATATAGATATTGATTAACTGATTTATCCCCCACGGGTTACGTGATTTGTATACATCATCGGCAAAATTTCTAGGAAAACTTCGTTCGTTGAATTTTAATATACCGTACACAATATCAGCAACACTGTGTTTACAAATGCGACAATGATGAAAATTTCCTTCCATTGTCACAAAGAAAACAGTAAATTGTGGGTTTTGTTAATTCCGTTACTAATGCTCCAATGACCGTGGCTCGGTGAACCAGAAACTTGTTGCACGTGCAAGAGAAAGAAATCACGAATAAAGGAGAGCAAGCCTAAATCTGTGTTCCTATAGAGATTGTTCGTAAAATTGGAATGGATTGCGTGCTGCTGGAGGTAACGTATGAATAAGTTAATACTATTTTTATGTGATATATTGCCTAATGTAACATCCAATTCGTTATAATAAATTGTTCTTATTTCGCTTTTATTTTAACTAAACGGGGGAAAAAAGTGAAAATCAGTATACAATTTATTACAAATGAACTTTGTAAAATAGCGCCGTATTAGTAATTGTGAAGATTGTATGTTTTAGTAGAGTTTTATATATAAAGAGAATATTAGTAAATATTAATACAATGCTTTCAAAAGAGCTAACACAAAAAAATGGAGATTCGAAGATCAAATGAACTTACGTGAGATTACATACCAACGAGGAGTAAGTTTAATAACCGAGAGGAAGGATGGAGCCAGAGGTGGTATCATCTCCGTTACCATCTCCATCAATGAGCAACGTGTCTTCGATCCCTTCTGTCACTTCTAGAGCAGGGAAAAGGCCAAAACCTTACCAACAAAAAGATGTAACTGTAGCAAGTGTATTTAAAAGCTATTTAGAAAAGCAAAAACCGCCGCCAGAAAAAGAAGATCCATTAATACACTTTTTTATAAGTATGGGTAAATATTGTTAAAAATTTTACACCGTACCAATAAGCTCTGGTTAAAGGTAGGGTTTACGAAATAATAAATGAAATTGAGCTTAACTCCAACCTCGGGCCGAGTCAATTTGAAACATTATCTAATTATCAAAGATCTTCAAATTATGGAGGGCCACATTACAATAATTAATCTTACTTAGGTACTTATGTATTTTTACTTTTGTGTATATTTTTATTTTTGCGTTCCTTAATAAATATGAATAAATAAGTTTCTAACCTTACCTTAAGCGTTCTACACACGCGGCGTTTTTGGAAGACGGCGTTGGACGACTCTCTCCATTGGTCGAGACCAAAGATATAGGCCAAAAAACAAGAAAAAAAGGAAATCAGTATTTTTAAATTTGAACATTCATAACTTTTTTTCTAAAGAAGGTAGAACGACATTTTTTTTCTAGTTTTATTCAGATTTCAATTTGCTTTCTATTGGTAGGTATATCATCATTCGAACAATTTAATTAACTGTATTAAACAAAACAGTAATGTTTAAGAAACGACAACAAATTTCCAATATTTCTTTAAACTCACCGCGTTGTAACTTTTTTATGAAAACAGCTTTTTAACCCTCTCGTGCATTGGGTCCACTGTAGAAATATAGGCCACACATTATGCCAGGCCCCTAGAAATCATTACAGATCACTTCCACAACCTTCATTCAATCACCAGTAAGTGGCAGCACAGACCAACAAAGTGTAGAATTCATAAAACCACATGTTTTGTGTTGTATGGTGTTGTGCTATACAATTCAAGATGGATGACGATTGTTTCCAACCTATTAGTGCTAGAACTTTTTATGGAGGCATCAAAAAAGGTAAAAAATGTTCATTCGCTGCATTGTGGTCCTCTAAGACATGTGCATTGTGCTTCTTCGCCGATTTAATTAAAATAATATAATTATCAATCAAAACTTAGCTCTCCACTGCAGTGGACACAATGCAATTTGGGTTGTTTTCCAACAATATGTTTTCTATTTTTAGACTGTTATTTTTGATCTTGATAATGATATTATTGGTGTCGAAGAGAATCCTGAAATCGAAGAGGTTATTGAGATTGAGGCGGGTGATACGGAGCTGGACATCACCGAGTTCAATTTCAATTTACCCGATGGGTCTGAATTGGAATCCGAAGCTGAAGACGAAAATCTCTACCAGCTACAGGATACTGACGGTGAATTTAGTTCAGAGGATGAAATACCATTGGCCCAATTACTGCGGCGTAAAAATTCAAAATCTAAAAAGGCCATTGACAATAAAAGGAAATGGGTAAATTCTGACAGTATGTATGGCCCTGGTACTTTACCACCATTCCTCGGTTTGGAAGGAGGAAAAACTCAAAGTAAGAGACCAATAGATTACTTTTTATTTTATTTCTCTGATGAGATCTTAGAAGAAATAGTATTTCAATCTAATTTATATGCACACCAGTTGGACAAACCCAACTTCACCCTTACAAAGTATGAATTGCAAACATTTTTGGGTATAAATTTGATAATGTCGTATATAAGATATCCACGAACACGTCTCTACTGGAACAGTGATGCTGCATTTCGTATGAGTTTCATTGCAGATTCTATGCCTGTAAACAGGTATGAATCGATTCTGAGACATCTACATTTTACAAATAACCTGGATCTAGATACTAATTCCACCGATAAACTCAAGAAACTCAGGCCATTTCTCGATAAACTTCAAAAGAACTTTTTGAGTGCCACTGAACCAGAAGAATACCAGGCAATAGACGAACAGATTGTTCCGCTAAAGGGGCGGTTGAGCATAAAACAGTATCTTCCGAAGAAACCTAAGAAATGGGGCGTGAAACTTTGGGTTAGAGCGGGTGTAAGTGGATATATGTATCGTTTCGAAGTATACCAAGGAGCGGGAGGAGGACGAGAGGCAATTAGCGATTTTGGTGCTTGCGGAGATGTTATTCGCCGTCTCAGCGATGACATCCAACACAAAAATCACAAGTTGTTTTTCGATCATTTGTTCTGTTCTGTGCCACTGTTGCAAGAGCTGAAACAGCGAAAAATATGGGCTACTGGTACGTTGAGGGGAAATCGCCTTTCAGGAGCAGGAGAATGTTTGATGTCAGAAAAAGACATGAAAAAACAGGGAAGAGGTACTTCTTCTGTAGTTTCCACAGAATCAGGGGATATTACCATAACAAAATGGATGGATAGCAATGCCATACACATAGGTTCAACATGTGCAGGAGTTGAACCACAAAGTTCTGTGAAACGTTGGTCTAAGCCCAATAAAACCACTATTGAAGTAAATAGGCCGTTCTCTGTCAAATACTATAACAAGAATATGGGTGGTGTTGACTTATTAGATCAACTACTTGCACTGTACCCTTTGCGAAGGCGGAATAAAAGGTGGTACATTAGAATATTCATGCATTTTCTGGATGTAGCAGTAATAAATTCTTGGATTCTGTATAAGAAGGATGGAAATAGCGATATGGATCTCCTAGAATTCAAAGGAAGCGTTGGCCGAACACTCATAAATAGGGGTACTAGAAACTCAGAAAATAAAAGGGGAAGGCCCAGGTCTACTACCCCACCAACTAGCATACTGAAAACGAGAAAACCAAACCACCATGCTCCAGAAGAAATACGGAAAGACAATTTTGGACACTGGCCCAAACTTACAGACATAAAAAATGCAAGAAGATGCCACTCGTCTTCGTGTAAACGGAAGACCAAAGATATATGTAAAAGGTGTAACGAGCCATGTTGCCCAGATTGCATGGAAAATTTCCATAAGTAGGATGTAAAATGCACTGTGTCCACTAGAGTGGACAGTTAAAATTTTGACTTTTTTTGAATATATTTTTTAATTTGATATACTTTTGAGTTCCTGTAACCCATTTTCTAGTTATATAAATACAAAAAATAATTTATTTTGTTTTTTTTTATTCTTTAAAATAAATCATGCATGAGAGGGTTAAATGGTTTTTTTTTTAAAAACTTCCCAATGTAATGGACTTCATTTTGTGGTAGATGGTATTAATTTATTGCTGAATAAGACAATTTCATGGTTAATCATTGAATAATGTTTAGCGGTGTTCGTTTCATTTTTATTCACATCTTTGATGTTGAATCGAAAATATCAAGTGACGTATTGTTTCCTGTACTTCCGCGGGCAAGGAATCCGATATGCCTAGATGTGAAGATATAGGGATTTCATTGGGAGCGATTTTTTGGGCTTAGTGATTGATGTCGCTCCATTTTTATTTTTAAAATAAAATTAATCAATGGGGTTACAAAATTAAAACATTTGAACCTTATTATATCTACCACACATACTTGTGTAGATACAGTTCAAAAGTATTTTGGAATCACTATAGCATTTAATAAATGAAACGGAAGGCGTATTTATTCTCAAAAAAATTTTAGAACTGAAAAATTATCTACTTGTCCATTTTACCTGATACCCGTTTCATATTTCTTGCAGAAAATCGTTTTGCAGCAAAAATATCATTATAAATGCAAACAGATTCAGGTGATTGGCCTTCATGCAGTATTAGAAAACCAAAAGATCCCTTTAATATAACAAATGGTTTGATTTGTGGTAAATCAGGCACATTAAAGAAAAAACCTTTGGTTGCAATTTGCACAGGAACGGGTTCTACAAATAAAAAGAATATTAATAATAATAATAATACTAATAATCTTTATTCTTCTCCTAACGTAATGACATGGAAAAAACAAATTCGAAAACAAAAAAAAGACAGAAGAATCACAAGGCGAAGTTCAGATATACAAAGAGAAATCTTCGTATCCTGTTCTACCACTTAAACCTTGACAGAACAAACAAAACTTATAAATTTAATACCTATCCTAATGAAAAATTGCCTTAATCTATATTATTCGGTGATCGTAGAAAATATACTAATTCATAGTTTAAAGAAAAGAAAACAACTAAAAAGATGCTGCGATTTTAAGAAAACATGTTGAAATGTAAGGCAGATTACAGTTTTATGCAGATTTATTTGCGGCTGAGACAAAATATCACAAAACCTGCTACTCACAATATATTAGCACAAGAAATATAAAATCACAGTTAAACAAACTAGCGACGGCACCTGTTTTGCAAGAAGACGAGAAAAAGAATGAAAGTAACTCTCCGAAAGATACAAGCGAATTTTCAACACCTGGGGAAGTCTCGACGGAAGAACTCTCAAGCTAGTAAAATGAGTTCACTTTTCTGCAGTGCATAAGGCAGCTGCTATTTTTAAGAAAAATTTTTTCAACAAAACGCAATTCTAATACCTAATCATCATATGTACATTCAAACAACATTAATGAGGAAAATTGCAGGAAGGAGATACCATATACATTTATTTCATGGGTTTTGAACAAGTCTAGTTTTTCTGATGGCATTACAGATACCTACTTTGATATATCTGTGATTGCTACGAGTAACGCTGTTTTGAACAATTTTGAAAAACGCTCAACCAAAATATGTATTATAAGGCCCTTTTGTCCCTGAATTGCTTCGGAACAAAAGTGACGATAACTGTACCCGCGTGCCCACGGAGTAAAATGCCAGGGGTCGCAGTTTGTCAGAATTCCAAAGGAAGATATCACAGCTAACAGGATTTATTGATTGTATTAAATATAAACAAAAGTATTTTGTATCATAAATAAAATAAAATGTATTTCCCTGAACGCGGCCCAATAGAGGTGGTCGCGTCTATTCTGTGGTAATGCGCGCCGCCGCCGTGGTAGTTGACCTTGGACTTAACGCAATCGTTTATAGTGCTCTCTGTAATTAAATGGTTAATGGTATGGTGTTTTAACATATGGAAATAAACAAGTGGTGCTATTGATAAATGATAAGGTTTGTAGTAAACAACATATGGGTGGTCACAATCGTTTGTACTCGCTTCAAGGTTACATACAAGCTGATTACAATCGTAAAGGAATGCGGCGGAGATAATACAGTCCGGTTTACACCAGCCTGAACTACTTCAACCCTCCAGGTACAACACTGGCTTGCGCCGTATTTTCCCTGCCTTTTAAAATTGTAGGTCGTTTTAATACGAGCCGGTTTTCACCAACCAATGTTAAAACCACCGATTTCTGCAGAACCTTGTTAACAAAAGTAGAAATTAGAAGTGACGTTTGGAAGCTAATGACAATCGTGAAGCGCATGAGGATCAGTCTGTCTCCTACGATTGTCGATCTGGGCTGTGAGCCCTTCTTCTAACAGCTCTAGCCATTGGCTCTACTGCTTGCTGGTTGTAGTTCATGACGTCTTGTTTCCTCTTTTGTTGTTTATGAGGGTGTGCGTATTGCTCTTGGAGCGATGTCCTATTTCCATCTCTGTTCCACCAGTGAGGATTGTTAGGCAAGGGTTCTAACGGGCTGCGTCACCTCTTGCTGACGCGGTTGGTGGGAACTAGAGTGGTTGAGGATTATTGGTTTTCCACCAGCACCCTCCTTGGCCCCTTCTTTTTTCGCTCCTGTGTGCCTGCCACAGGTGCGAGGTTCCTGATGTGGTCGACGTCTGATTTGTCTAGTTTTTCGAAAACCTTCTCGGTCAGCGAGCGAATGTGGTCGGATAGGGTTGGTATTTCCAGGGCCTGCCGGATGTATTCGTTCCTTACGAACCAATCTGCCTTGCAGATGGTCCGTAAGGCGATGGATTGCACCGCTTCCATCTTTTTCGCGTAGGATTTTCCGACGTACGTCTTCCAGCCTGCTGAAGCGTACGTCATGATGGGGCGCACGCACGTCTTGTAGATCGCGAGTTTTGTCTTCTCGGTAAGGGCGCTGTTGCTGAGTAGAGGGTAGAGATGCGCTCTTCTTCCCCGAGCTTTGGTGGTTACTTCATCCGCGTGTCGGTTGAAGGTCAGTTTTCTGTCGATTGTTACGCCCAGGTATCGGATGGAGGGAGACCATTGGATGTCTTGACCGGCGACGTTTAATTTGTTGTAGTCCTGGTAAAATTTTTTGTTGGTGAATATCACAGCCTCAGTTTTAGCGGGGTTGAATTTGGGCCGCCAGCGGCTCGCCCAATTGATGATGGTATCGATGGATTCCTGTATTCGTCGTACGGCGATGTTGGGTAGCCTATGGTTGCCATGAATTAGGAGATCGTCGGCGTACAGGGCTATTTTGACGTCCGGACCGACCGGGACGTCATTGATGTAGATGCTGAACAGCACGGATGACAGGCAGCCGGCCTGCAGTACTCCTGATCGTGCTGATTTGGCGTCCGATAATGTGTTGCCTACTCGAACTTTGAAGGTACGGTCGGTCAGGTAGTGGTCGATGAGATGAACGAAGTTCAGCGGGATGCTCGGAGTTCTTAATAGTTTGAATATGAGACCTTGCACCCATACTTTGTCGAAGGAGGCCGCCACCGTACACTTCGCTCTGTTGAAGTTCTCGGCCACAGCGTCGACGAGCCCGATAATTTGCTGGGTGGTGGAGTGGTTTTTCCGGAACCCAAACTGCTCGGGTCGGATGTTGATAAGCGGCAGCAGTCGTGCGAGAAGTATCCTCTCGAATATTTTCCCCAGTGCAGGAAGCAGCGAGATGGGACGGTAGTTGTTTGGGTCGGTGAGGACCTTTCCTGGTTTGGGCAGCATAATTACTATTGCTTGCTTCCATGCAACCGGGAAGTGCTTGAGTACGATGGCGGAGTTGAACTGGAGAATTCGCCTTTTATTTCCACCTAGACCTGGAGGTGGAATTGGAAGGGCTGCCTGCGTACATAGAATGTGCGGTAACTGATATGGGGATTACACTAGCACCACCTGTTGGTAATAAATTAAAATTCCTCTAAATGGAATTAATGAGATTTACCCTTACAGGTCCCTTACAGTATATCAAGTCGTAAGAATATAATTTGTTTTAATTTTCTATTAAAAATTATAATCTCGTAATAATATTATTGCATAATATATTTATAGTTCCCACAAGTTTCTGTTATTTTGTGAAATAGATTATTGAAAAAAATTAACGACATAATTTTAATCTCACTTCATCGTGATGACCGAGTTGTATTAATCGGGACAAAATGAAGTCCATTTAGTCCAGTCTGTTATAGTATATCTGTATGTTATAAAACGTGGCAACTATGTCTTTCGTAAAGGTTGCCAAGACGAAGCCGGTACGCTTGACACGACAGCTGCTCGATGGCCGGTGACATGACAATTGTCTAATAAAGATCTGTTCCGCTACCTGTGTGTTAATATATTAATCCAAGCAATCACCCAACATAATATGGTGTCAGAAGTGGGACAAAAAGTGTTATTCAAAAAGGCACTTGCAGATAAAAAATGGCACATAGGTACAATTGTAAGTGTAGGACCTTTACCACGAACTTATCAAGTACAAAATGCAGAAGGCACATTATACCGCAGAAACCGAATGTTCTTTAAACCCTTAAAAACAATGGAAACTGAAATTACTGATGTTAATAATGATAATGAAGGATTATTAACTAACAGTAATTCAGACAATTCATTACTAATTGTTCCAAACCCAATTAGGTCAGAAACGGTGAATGATTCTGAAATACAGGTGAATGATTCTGAAAGGCACACACGATCAGGTCGTTTAATTAAGACCCCAAGTAGACTAAACTTGTAGTAATGTTTGTAATTATATGTAATGTTTGTTATTTTAAGTATACTTTGTATTATTAAGGAAAGGGAGATGTTATAGTATATCTGTATGTTATAAAACGTGGCAACTATGTCTTTCGTAAAGGTTGCCAAGACGAAGCCGGTACGCTTGACACGACAGCTGCTCGATGGCCGGTGACATGACAATTGTCTAATAAAGATCTGTTCCGCTACCTGTGTGTTAATATATTAATCCAAGCAATCACCCAACATAATACAGTCAAAATAGGAAAATCAGAGGAACTAAAAATACTAGTTCCAATTTTTTCACAAATGTGTAGGGAGAGGTTTCCTGAACAAGAAAAAATTAAGTCCCTCCAAATTCCGGTGCAGCTGGGGGAAGGAGGAGGCTTTAAACGACCCATTTTTCAGTTTTTCGCTTTTAACTCGAAAATGGTGCGTTGTATTCGATGGGTACAGGACATTAATACGATAAAACGGTTCAGTTTTCGTAAAGATGTACATAACCAAACTTGTAGCAAATTTAATAAGCTTTCATTTTGTACTGAAGAACTTTTTCACTGTAACGCACCATTTTCGATTTAAAAGCGAAAAACTGAAAAATGGGTCGTTTAAATCCCCCCCCCCCTTCCCCCAGCGGCACCGGAATTTGGAGGGACTTTATTTTTTCTTTTTCAGGGAACCTCTCCCTACACATTTCTGAAAAAATTGGAACTAGTATTTTTAGTTCCTCTGATTGCCCATTTTTAGTCTAAATTGACTGGGCTAATTACATTGTGGAGTTTTTGAAAAAAAAAACCATTTGAAAAGCTATTTTCATGAAAAAGTTACGACACGGCGAGTTTAATGAAATATTGGAAATTTGTTGTTTCTTAAATATTGCCGTTTTGTTCAACACAGTTAACAAAATTGTTCGAATTTTTTTGCTTTATCTTTAGTCTCAAACTTCATTTCCTATGTAAAAAAATGTGCTTTTTCTAATGGTGAGGGTCCCATTTAGTTATACCTCTGTTTTGTTTTTGTGCATCTTAGACGAGGCTCTCCGACGGACTATTAAGAAACTCGTTCCGCAAAGAACTAAAAAAAGTTCTAGGATCTAAACGTTCAGGTGCTGGAACAGATGAAACGTATTCGTCGCATTTGTGGTATTTTAATTTGATAATGTTCACCTGTGACCAAGAAACCGTAAGGAAAGGCATTTGTAACGACTCCGACGCAGAAAATGAGACACAAATAGAGGTAAGTAATAGTTTATTTACTATTCTCCAAACTATTGAACGAAAGAGAATATTGTTGCGACGTAGTTTTTCGTAAATCGTTGTGTAATGCGCAACATTCTGCAATCACATAGTCAATTTTCTTAAGTGAAAAATTAATTTCAGTGTTAAAAATTATAAATCGTGCTGCCAAAATGCCAAAAACGTTTTCGACGATAGATCTGGCACGAGATATACGGTAATTAAATATTTTACGATCATGATTCAATTCCCTTGCGGAATATGGTTTGTTCGCTATGTACTGTCTAAATTTACAGCGTCCCCTAAAATTCTCTAACATTTCGTCAACTGTGCAGTACTCTCCAATTTGG